GGTCTTATAGCCCAGATGTGTCCACTTGCCATACTGAGGTAACTTGTGTTCGCTGTGAAGCTGAACACGCTGATGTGTCAAATGCGATAATGGTTACCCATGGTGGACAGTGTTTGGTGGTGCTCCCTGGTTAAAACAAGCTTGGAAGCAGGAGTGGCATCCAATTCCGTAAATAGCGTGCCTCTGGAAACCCTATGAACCTGGAGTAAGGATGAAAGTCACACACGCAAGTGTCGTGGACTTTTGTTCAGAGGGTCGCTATGAGTTGCCTATGACTCGACGATACTCAACAACACAACAACAACATAGCATCAAAAACTGATGGTACTAAATGAACAAACCTAAACTGCAGTGAAGATGCTGGGAGAAAACAGGATCCAGAAAGTAATAGAAGACTAGGTGAGATGTTTCAACCAATGGATGTAATGACGGCACTGCTCACTTATCTATTCCAAGAAATATGAAGACAGCTACCTGGGCAACTGACTGTAAAAAAAAAAAAATAAAATAAATAAAATCTGTATTTGAGCCGATTCCAAGGAAAGGTGATTCAAGAGAATGTAGAAATTATCAGATAGTATTAGTATTACATTCAAGGAATATTTTGATGAAGAAATGGTGGGGGCAAACTAGGTGTACAGACGGGGGAAAGGAGGAAGAACTGGAAGAGGCAGAGGGAGGTGGCGGGAAGGGGAAAAGTAAGAGAAGGAGAAGGAAGAAGAGGGCGGCAGGGGCAACGAGACAAATTTGATGAGGCAAGAATTAAGCAAGCACAACCACCTGAAACACAAGATACAGAAGATGAATGAAATAAGGACCAAGAGATCAAAAGTGTTTATTTATTGGTGAAAAAGGATTACAAAAATAAAACTGATTAACAGGACCATAAATATAAAACCAAGTAAGGACCAAAATCCAACAGTAAAAAAAAAAAGAAATCCAATAGTCATTATCATATGTATGGCATGAAAAAGAATAAGCCCTAAAAACATATTTTTATGAAAGAGGTAGTCTATTTAACAATCAACTCTTAGGGTTTCAAATTTCTCTCATAAATAAAAAGTAATGTCAATATCTAGACCTACAGGAATAATACTCAAAGTATCTGCTCTCACTAGATTCCAAATCTTGTTTTCAGATCCTAAGATAGCTATATGCTACTGAAAAGCACCAATGTGAATTTACCAAGATGGTTTGCCTAATTTAATTATACAGGATCATGTGTAAATAAATGGTGGAGGCAATACAAGTGATAGCAGAAATTGGGAGTATATGTACTGGTAGTCAATGGACAGATGATGGATGAATAGTTTAGTGAAGAATTCACTAAAAGAAAGGTGCCATTACAATAACTTACCAGAGTTGGATTTGAGCTTTGCTAGTAATGGAGGAAACTGGTTCAGGTTTTAGAAATGGTAAACCATAAATTCTATGAATGATAAGAGGATTTTAGGACAACAGGAACTCAGTCTCCATGGTTAGAGAAAGTGTCATGAGTGATTTTTCAGTCAAAACCATAGTGGTTGAAGAGAGTAAGAATTATGGGTACATATTATTAAAGGAAAAAATAATCCATTTGATGAATGCATCCACTATAGACCTATGAATCATGAAGTCAGTAATGAGAGAACATGTGCAGTTTTAGAGTATCTTTCCATCTACCGTACAGAGGTAACTTGTGGTTGCTGTGATACTAAACACTGTGACATTGATGTGTCAAATGCAATAATGTTTACCCATGATGGACTGTGTTTGGTGGAGCTCCCTGATTAAAACAAGCTTAGAAGCAGGAGTGGCATCCACTTCCGAAGTAGCTTGCCTTCGGGAACTCTACAAACTTGGCGAAATGATGAAAGTTATACAAGTGTTCAGGTCTTTCATTCATAGGGTCGCTTTGAGTCATCTATGACTTGACGGCACTTAATAACAACAATTATACTCTTTATAGACCTGTTAATACAAGTATTATTAAAATATATGCATCAATCATTAAGGTCAAAGATGAAAGGATGATGTCTCCTAACAAATGAAGTCTGAAATTATTTGAACATGAAATTAAGATGCATCATTAGTAACTGGTAACTGGAATGTAAAGGTTGGAAAATTCTAACTTCATAATAGGAGTTGGAGACTGAATGACAGAATACTAAACAATCAGTAATTTATTCACTGAAAATATATTTTAAAAAACCACAATGATGATTATACACATGGTTCTTACCTGATGAACTATACAGGAGTCAGACTGACTACATCTGTGGAAAGAGTCGATGGAAAAGCAGTCTAATAAATCTTATCATCAATTACTCATGAGCAAGTTCAAACTGAAGCCAAACAAAATGAAAACAAGTCCATGAGGACCAAAATACAACCTTGAGTCTAATCCAACTATATATATTAAAAAAACCCCAACAAACATTTCAAGACCAGATTTAATACACTGAATACTAATGACTAACGACCAGATAAGCTGTGTGATGACATCAAGGACATGATCCATGAATAAAGGAAAAGGTCATTACAAAAATGAGAAATGACCAAAATGAATACCAGAAGAGACTCTGAACAAATTTCAAATGGCAGCTTAGGAAGACAAAGTATTACAACGAAATTTCTCAAGCTGAAAAAACTGAAGAGCGCATTTAGGTCTTGAGTTGCAATACTGAAGGATTCCAATTACAGAAGAAGAGTCAAAAGATGGAACAAATACAGAGTCACTGAACCAAAAAGGACTGGTTGACAGTGAATCAATTCAGAAGGTAGTATATGATCAAGAACCATTAGGACTGAAGGAAGAAATCCACACTCCACAGAAGGTGCCACAACCTCTTCTAAATCCAGCTTGACGGTCTGTCAGTTCTCTGTCTATGTGTTGTTCTAGCCATTTTTAAATGATCTTTAGCAGTATTTTGCTTGCAAGTAACATTAATGATGTTGTTCAATAATTTCCAATTTTTGTTGGATCACCTTTCTTGTATATGGGAATAAATGTGAACCTCTTCTAGTCAGTCAGCCAAGAAGCTGTTACCAATTCATCTTGGTGCAGTGATTCTATATATTCCTTCCATCTAGCACACACCTAACTAAAATCAAGGACCAATATTAATAAACCTTTAATATATCTAAGTTGAGAATGAGAAAGGTAGGAGATTTTCAAATAAGCAAATAAATCATATCTGTTATTCTACTCTATATGTGCTCTATTGTACACAGGGTTTTTACTTTACATTACTTTGTGAAATTCAGGAACTGTTTAAAGAAACTGGACATGAACATACTCATTATCATTTAAAAAAATAAGGCAATCTACATAGAGAGAAAATCGTAATCAGATACTAATCAGTAATGGCTAAAGAATGATGATGAGATCAGTAACACCTGTTTCCAGCAGTATTCCTGAATCTTGGCTGCACACAGAATCAGCTGGGACATTTAAAAAAAACTGATACTCAGATCTCATCTCCTGAGATTCTGATATAACCCAGTATGTTCTGAGCATGGATATTTTCTTAAAAGCTCCTCAAATACTTGTATTATATGCAATCTGGGTTGAGACTAGTTTAAGGATTAAAAGATTGTTTTTGTTGATGACATAGTAATGAAAATACTCCTTAATGGATGCCTTAAATAGGCAAAAGGAATTTATTTTTCAAAACAAGGATTATGAAGAAATAACAGTAAAGATGCAGAAATGAGAATATAAAATATCTAGGTATAGCTGATTATCATAACTAGACCATTATGGACAGATGTTCATAACTGTGTCAGCATAAGTAGATTGAAGAAATAGCTTGGATTCTTATCATTTAGGTACTGAGTTCTTGTTTTTTGCCATTGAGTTGGAAGCAACTCATAGCTGATCCTTCAGTGGGTTTTCAGAGGAAGTAAATTGCAGGGGAGGAATTGCCCATCTTTTTCCTGCAGAGTAGCTGGTGGATTCAAACCACATCTCTTCAGATTGGCAGTGTGACTCCTTATCACTAGACCACCAGAGCTCCCTAGTGAATATTTTTGCTGTATTATTCTAGTTATATTGAATACTTTTGTTCTATTTTTTATGTGATCAGAGTAATCTAGGTATAATAAGCTCATAAAGCCTTAAGATAGGTGGAAGCAGTAAAAAATGAAATGGATATAAAACATAAAGAAAAATCAGTAAGATGTTTTGGCAGAACCAAAAATAGAACTATAAGAATAATTTGGGGAGCTCTGGTGGCCTAGTGGCAAGAAGCTGCACTGCAATCCCAGAGGCGCATGGTTCGAATCCACCAGATGCTCTGCTGGGAAAGGAGGGACAGTCTCCTCCTGTACCAGTCAGATCTGATTTGACAGTACACAGACACACAAAATAATAATAAAATTTAAAAAAAAAGAATGTAGTTTTAAAAAAAAAAGAATAATTTAAAGGATGTATATGTAATCTTAATAGCAACTATTATCTCACTGGCAAATCTTAATTCCTTTTTTCAACGACTTTCACTATGAAATATAAACATCCATAATTATAGGTTATCCTAATTCTATTTTTTTAAAATTTTTTTTTACAGAGGTTTTGGATTTCCATTCATTCATTGCCGCAATTTTCTCCCTTCCCACCCCTCCCCACCAGCTTGCTTCCCCCTCCGAAGACAGAAAAAAAAAAAATTCCTTCATTAGTATACAGGTCCCACGTCCCTTCCCCCACCCCCCACCCCGAGTACACTTCTCTATGCAATCTTAATCCTAATTCTATTTTGAAGGCTTATTTCTCATCTCCCCCTAGAAATAAAATAATATTCTTTAATGCAGACATCTATGTAAAAGAAGATTTGAAAATAAAGTAATTTGAGGTAACACATAAATTGCTAATCCATTCCATCATAAATATTTAACATTTTTACAATGTGATGATTTCATGAATTTTGTGCTAAATCTTTTATCCTGAAGCCTATCATAAGACATATATAGATCAGACCCCTTTGATTTAGAATAACAATTAAACAGCTATTTCTAGATCATACCTTGTATTTGGTCATGGTGCTGAAATGATTATTCCGAAAGAACACACAAAGCTCTCCTTCCTGAACCGCTGATGTTAGTTCACATAATCCGTGGTACGTCAGCTGAGTGGCTGTGTTGTTTAGAAACTGCTCAGCTACAAAACCTATGAAATCAATGCATAGAATTAGAGGGATGAGAATTTCAAAATTAAGTCATTCATGAAAAAGTCTACTTATTTTGTACTCAAACTAAGGGGAAAGGCCAATCAAAATAAGACTTCCTATACTCTGACGGCTCCAAACAGGAGATCCTTATTTCTAATTCTTCTGTGAAAGATGTGTGTTCATATCTCTTGGCATTCACAACCCAAGAAATAGTTGTGTAAACTTGTTTTTATCAATTAGTATGTTCATATTTAATACTCTACCTGCTCCCAAAAGTATATCAAGGTGGCTTCTAATGAGATACATAAATAATAAATCTAAAACTCATTAAAATAAGAGGGCAGGAGTTAATGATTTTAAAAAGGAGTAGGAAAGAAAGGTGTCAATAGTTACAAGTTTAGAAATTAAGTATAGCCTCAACAAAGAAAGTTGCCAAGATTTTTACAAATCTTAGAAAATTCTCAATTTGCAACCTGAAATTCCTGCCTTTATTCTAAGAGCAGGTACATGGTTAAAATGACAGCAGTGGGATAAATGAGGCCATTTTTATCCTAATTGCCTCCAAAACACACCACTCATTATGCTGCTATATAAAATTCATACACAAATCATTTTGTTCTCTGTTTTGAAACATAATGAAATAGATGTTTCTCTGGAGTATTTTAAAGATATATACAGCTATACTATTTAAAAGCCTTTCTCTTCTTTTTCCTGTATGGAAGAAATATATTTCAAAAGCAATGAGAGGGAAGAGGTGTGCTGTATAATAGAAGTGTTGCTATAGGAAGTAAAGATAAATCTGTGTTAGGAAACAGATACTCCAGCCAGAAATTAAAAATAAACTTGAAAGAAACCTCAGTACAGAGATGACAAGGATCTGCTCAACTAGATAATGCAAAGTATTTCCTTACTCTTCTATGTTTTCTTCAGCATTAAAAAAAAAAATCTAATACATATTTTACTGTTTCAGAAATAATTCCACCAACTGTCATAATTTAAAGAGTAAATTATTAGTATCTCCAATTTCAGGATATTTTTTAGTATGTAAATGTCTCCTTTGTATCATACAATAATACTCATAGCTTACTTTCTAATTAGCAGAGAGGATACCTGATAAATGACAGCCATAGTAAAATATCGTTTAGACAGATGTAATAAGCATTCAACTTGTTCTGTATTGCCACTATATACAGTAATAATGAACACCTTAATAACCTACCTTGAACATATATAGTATATGGAGTAGGTAATGGTTACTACAAAGGCTTCAGTCAAATTTTACATGTTTTTATATGAGAGACAGTGTAGCATTGTGATAGCACACACACTGCAGTCATAAACATAATTTATTTTTTTAAAAAAAAAGAGAGGCGACAAAGGTCAAAGAAGACTTGGTTGATAATGTGACTTTATTCCATTCCCTTAGTGTCAAGCCACAGCACTTCAACATGAAAGATAGTTGTGAAAAAATACCAGTATTTTACAATATTCTAAGGACTTGTGTAAGGTGGAAGGAAAGTAGAGAACAAAGTCAAAGAAATTACTAGCATATCTGCATGTTTTTGAGTTTAGGCATTAAGAAATTTTTTCTCTTCCTTCCACCTATTAATGTTCCTTTTTTAACTTCTAAATTACTGATAGGATGTATTAGTTATATCCTAAATCATGTATTACTATATAGCATTTAAAAAGTAAGCACTCAAGAACCCAGAAATTAACCCAAATATTTACACTCAATTGCTATTTGACAAGATACCAAACCCTATCAAATGGGAGAAATGTCAACCTCGTCAACAAATGGTGTTGGTAAAACTGGACATCTACCTGCAGAAAGCAGAAACAGGATCTATGTCTCACAACATACAAAAAAAATCAACTTAGGGTAAATCAGAGACCTTGGGGTAAAGCCCCAAACCATTAAGATCATAAGAGACAAAAGGGGACCAAACTTACGCTTGCAAACACTCAACCAGGAGAAGATAAAATTAACAAATGGACCTTTAAAAAATTAACTCTTTGAAAAAAAAAATTAACTCTTTGGTGCATCAAAAACTTACTCCAACAGGGTGGAAAAAAAACACCTCCAACCCTGCAGCACGGGGAGAAACATTTGGCAATGATATTTAAAAGACTCATAATGAAAGTTACAGATTACTCCAGGACAAGAAAAAGACTGATAACTCAATCACAAAATGGGCAAAAGACACAAAAGATTTTTCACAAAGAAAGACTTTCAAATAGCTAACAGACACATGAAGAAATCTTCAAGATCACTGGCAATCAGAGATTTAAATCAAAATAACAACGAGATACCATCTTACACCAGCAGCAGTAACAAAGTTTAACAGGCTAGTAAGCAACAAATATTGGAAAGGACATGGAGAGATTGGAACTTTCATGCACTACTGGTGGGACTGTAAAATGGTACAACCACTCTGCAAGGCAGTTTATCATTTCTTCAAAAAGCTGAACAGAAATCCAAATGACCCATTTCTAGCTACTCCACTGCTAGAAACACACCCAAGGAAAACAGAACTGAGACATGAATAGAGACTTGTACACTGATGTTCATAATAGTTTTATCGATGTTCATAATAGTTTTATTCATAATAGCAAGAACATGAAAACAGCCAAATTCCCATCAACAATTAAATGGATTGAGAAATTGTGGTACCTTTACATAAGAGCATATTATGTAGTACTAAGAAACAAGAACTCTGTAAAATACTACATAACTTCAAATCCACCAGATGCTCTAATGAAGAAGGAGGAACAATTGCCTCCTGTACCAGTCAGATCCAATTTGACAGTACACACATAAAAAGAATAAATAATAATAATAAAATAAATAAAAAAATACTATATAACATAGAAGAGTCTAGAAAGCATAATGCTGAGTGAATGAACTCAGTCTTGTAAGAACAAATACAGCATAAAGCTATTACTGTAAAAACAGAAGGGTAACTAATAAGATGTGTATAAATGTCTAAAAGGAGAAGTGGAAGACGAGGAAGAGGAGGAGGAGGAGGAGGCAGAGGTGGAAAATAGGGAAGAGAAGAAATCACTAAGATGGCAGAAATCAGTAGTGGGCAGATGAGGGGTTGTTGTTATTGTTAGGTGCCATCAAGTCCAGTATAGCTCATAGTGACTCTATGAAAAAAAAAAAAAGTCTGAACCCTGTTCTATCCTGTACCATCCTCACACTTCTTGACACACAAGAGCCTACTGCAGCAGTCAACAAATTAATCCACCTGGTCAAGGGTCTTTCTCTCCTTCACCGACCCTCCACCCTTCCCAGCATCATGTTTTTCTCCAAGGAACAGACCCTCCTAGCAAAACACCCAAAGTATGTGAGAAAAAGCCTCATCACTGTTGCCTCAAAACAGCATTCTGGCTGCCCCTTCTCCAAGACATATCTGTTTGTTCCCTTGGCAGACCATGGGGTGTTCACTGCTCTTCAATACTACAGCTCAAAGGTGTAAATTCTTTTTTAATTATCCTTATTCATGGTCCAGCTCTCCGATACATAGCAAGTAACTGGAAACACTATGGCCTGAATCAGATGCACCTCAGTCCTCAAACTGACATCATTACTCTTCAATAATTTGGAGAGGTTCTTAACTGTAGATTTTCCCAATACAATGCATCTATTTATTTCCTGACTGCTGGTACCAAGGTTGTTAATTGTGGATCCAAACAAGATGAAGCTGTTGACAGTTTCAGTCTCCTCTCCATCCATCATGATGTTGCCTATCGGTCCAGTGGTAAGAATCATTGTTTTCCTGACACTGAGATGCAATCCATAGTGAAGCCTGCATTCTTTGATCTTCTGCAAACAAGTGCTTCAAGCCCTCCTCATTTTCAGCTAGCAAGGTTGTGTCGTCTGCACAATGCAGGTTATTGATGAGTCTCCCTCCAATCCTGATAGACTCTTCATAAAGTTCATCTTCTTGAATAATTTGCTCAGCATACAGATTGAATAGGTATGAAGAATGAATACAAACCTGACACTCTCCCTTCTCAATTTTAAACCATGCAGTGTTGCCCTGCTCTGTTTCCAGTCTTGTCAGTGTCTGCCATAACTTGTTATCATCCACACAGTCAACTAAATGCCTTTGCATAGTAATAACGCACAAATATTCTGGGATTCCTTACTTTGAGCCAGGATCCATCTGATGTCAGTAATGATACCCTGGTGCTACAGCTTCTTCTAAATTCTGCTTGAAGTTCTGGAAGTTCACTATCTTTGTACTGTTCTAGCTGTTTCTGATGAGGGGTTGGGTGGTGAAATAATAGGAAACATCGAGTGGGATTTGAAAAGATGGAGTAATAATAGGCATAGATCAATAGTAATTGAGTCTATAAAACACGTCTATGAATGAATGATTGTGTGAAACACAATGTATACAAATTAAAACATAAAACAATGTATACAAATTAAAACATAAAACAAAATTTAAAAAGCATTATGCATGTACTTAATAGTAATAACACTACTTTCTGAAATATCTTTATTACTAAATGATTATAAAAAATGTGTCTACATATTCTTCTCACTCCTCACTCACATAGCAATCCTCTGTATAAGTCCCCTTAAAAAGATACAGATGTTTAGTAGAGATATAGTGCAAGATACGTAACTGTGAAATTAAAAATTTTAACATAACAGAGGTCTAAGCTACTCCTTTTAAGAGCACAGTATGAGCACAGAAACAGAGTAAGTAACGTTCTGAAAAAGATGAAATTATTTATGACAAACTTAAGACTAGATCCCAGGAGAAATATTAAGTTAGCCACTAAATGTAGATTATAAGAGCTGTTAATTAAAAATCTCCCCAAACCATAAGCCAAAGCCTATTTAAGACTTAAAAAGAACAGCATTTCCTAACTCTTTTATACCACTAACATAATTTTTTATATAAAGTCAATCTGGTTTCAACTCTTGATAATACATTTTTAAAAATCTGGTAAGAAATTCTGTAAGTTACAGAACAGTTTG